TAGATTTGTGCTTAGGTGGTTAGTTGGATTAACAGGCCGGAAAGAGAACACTTTCCTACAGCCATGCATCACTAATGCCTACGTGCTGACGAATACATTCACAACAAGATTGCAAGGACTTTGTAATGGATTCCTCATTCTGCTTCTCATCACCCAATATGTACCACAGTGGTCCTCAGTTCGTATTCCCGAAGAGCTATCACAAGAGAGACACTCCTAGCAAGAAGCTCACCACTTTTTCAGTTATCTCTTCATGTCTTTTTGGAGAAAGTGGAAAATAGTATTATTTTAGGAGAGCATTTTCTTTAACATTTCTTTAAGATACTCGTCCTTATGCTCTGGGCCTGTTTCCATCATCTCTGGACATGTTTTCAGGTACATGGGACTCCATAGGGAAACCCTTTTTAGGGGTTTGCTTTTTAGGGCAATTTCTGCATACCTGGGTCTTTTTCAGACCCCTGGAGCTGTTCCCATCATCTCATAATAAGCCTCCAGCAGAGTCAGGAGCTTATCCCAGGGCCTGGGCAGAGGAGCTGCCAGGTGGTCTCACCCCATGCAGCAAACAGATTGGAGAAAGCTGAGAATGAGAGGGAGGGAGGGAGGGAAGGAAGGAGGGGACCAAAGCAGGTGAAGAAAAAGAAAAGGAAAAGATCACCTTAAAAGTCTAGGAAGGCGGAGCAAAGAAAGAAAATGCAGAGCCACTGCATTCCTGTCCACAAAGATAGGACAGAAGGTATCTGCCTGAGGGACTGCTGGAAGATGCAGATAGAAAAATGCTGGAGCTGATACTGAGCTCCTGCCTTCTTCTGGAGAGCCTGTCTCGCAGGTGAGGTGTAAGAGGCCTTGGGCTGCCACTGTGGTTGCTAACTACTTCTTTCTCGGCATTGCTTGAGAGCATTATTTGTGGTACAGGTTGCTGGTGACTTCAAATACTGGACTTTCCTATTGATAAGAAACAATCAGTAAATCCCTGTTCTCCTTAAGGTTGTTTTTTGAGCCCTGAGCAATGTTCTTAGACGATTGATTCCTCGCTCCTTCCTCTTCAGAGTTGTATTTGCAAAGAAGGTGTATTCTCTCACCTTAGGCCATACCTTAAGTCATTGTTAAAAACCATTTAAAAAGACAAAAATAGTAACACAATAGATTTGTGACACGGCTTTTTTCTAGCAAACTCTGTTACCTATGTGAACTTAATCCTGTTTCCCTGAATGAGATGTTCTTATCTTGAAGATAAAAATTCACCTTGTTTTCTGTGGATTTAGTTAAGTGTTAATCCTGGCTAAAGAAGTTTACTGAGACAATTGCTTGTGCAGGTCAGTTGATAGCTACATCCCTAAACAGATCGATATTAAAAATAACCCTTATTTTGGAAAGAAGCCAAGTGAATAAAGCAGTATATAAAGTCGAGAAAGCTTCCAGTCTCTCTCTGGACTCTATAGACAGAAGAGAGGAAGGTTTAGGAAGATTTTGCTTGGCAGCTGGAAGGAAGGCTTGATTTAGGATTAATTCTCCAAACCTAGAATGATTCCAAAATGTGACCTTTGGCAGATAAATCCTGGAAAATGCCAAGTCAAGAGTGCTCTGGAGTGGTGTTGGCTGTAGGAAGCTTTTTATTTGATCAAGAGCAGTCAGTTCCATGCAATCTCTGATGATGTGAGCAAGGAGTCACTCATTTAGCAAGATTTTAGGTAATGCTGTCATTAAGTCACTGTTCAAGGTAGTAGGGAGATGCAATAGTTTCATGTGTCATTTGTAACAAATTAGCTGGAATCAGGCAAAAAGCAGATGGAAAAAATCCACATAGGCATTTCCAGAAAGCAAATGATAGTTGGCTAATGGCCAATGGTAACAAATTGGTGTGCTGACATAAAATGCGTAGGTTAGAGCATAAGGTCTAAACACCATCTCATTAGAGTTGTGGCAGAGATTTCATTTCTGCAATTTGCAAAGGATAACATGGAATCTCCTTGGAACAGTACTATAGTACATTCAACTGCTTCTTTAGAAGATGGTATGCTTATGCTTCTTCATCTTCCTTGCTGGAAGTGAGAATAAGATATAAAATGGAACTTGCTAGAAGGCTTTCTCCTTCTTTAGAGCAAGGAGATAAGAGGCTTCTTTTGGGAGATGAATTTGCAGAAAACCACAGTTCATCTAACAACATATAAAGACACTTTTGCTGCCCTGGACTATTATTTACAGTAACTACAGTAACATCACATGCTCAACTTCTTTGTTGTGAAGTAAGGGCTTCTGCGTCATCTGATAAGTGTGTGTTTGCAAAAGCAAATGTCATTTATATGTGAAGAATCTCAGTTCTTTTAAATCAAAATCAGTCAGACACAAGGCTAACTGATGCTCTGACAGGCTTCAGCAGAAATGCAAAACTACCTGGAGTGTTTGGGTTGAGATAATTTGTTAGAACATGTGAGTGGCCAGACTGGAGACACATGCATCCCTTTCTGTCTCTCACATGCAATTTTTTCATATTGCGCTACAGGCTTGTCAGTTACAAGAACACGAACTCAAAGTTAGCATTAACCTTACTGTAACAGAACATTTTTTGCCGGGCTTCTTCAATCCTGACACAATTAGGCCAATGGAAAAGATTCATCTTTTTTGTGCAAGCAGTCTGTGCTTGCCTCTAGGGATAAAGGCAACTTACAACACACTTGCATGGATTTGACAGCAGCTATTGTAATGTTGCCACAGAGCAGACGTAAGCATTTTTGGTATAGAGCGTGTTGCTTGAGGTCTTGTCTGGGCTTGTTATAGATAGGGTCTATAGAGAGGAAAAATGGAAATCACAAGTGATCATATCACAGGCTTGTCCTTGTACTTATCCGATAGAAGCTGCTAGCCTGAAAAGCTATTACTTAAGTATGAGTTCTGTTCTGCGCAGAAGTGCCTGCTGACAATAGTAAAGTCAAGCTACAAACTGCACGCTTCTATGTGCTTGTGCCCTCATCTCCACTCCTTGAGCTTAAGGCAACAGTACAGAAAAACATTGCTTTGTCAGCTATTCTAGAAAATACCAGCCAAGTCCCAGACACATATATATATATGACATTGAACAGAGGTGTCATAGGCTACCTCTGAGACTTAATTACTGCCTGTTTAATTAGTACATTTAGGGCTCCTCTGTGGGCAGCAACTCTTTGCATTAGAGGTATAGTGTACAAGGAGCGGTTGGTATTTATATTTACTGCCCAGTTTTGCTTTCCCCCATGCAATAGAGACAGCCAGGCAAACTAGCAGTATACATATGCTGTTGAACTTCCCTGTCGTATGTTCTGCAAACTACTGGGACCTCAAGGTGCTAAACAGTTCTTTCACATTACTCTCCTGTGTAAAGGGCAAGGGGTACAAAGTTAGCATATACTCAGATTTTCCCCTATTTGGAGGTACCAGCAAGACTGTGTGTCAGCTTCCATCATAATCCCTTCCGCATCTCCCTAATTATATACGGTTTGTGTATGTATATAGTTACATACAATATACACGTCCTCATGCCTGCCCTACTGTCTCTTCCAACTGTTGACATATTCTCTCAATTTATGTGAAAAAACAAGAGTGTTGGAAAACAACCTCTCGGGAAAACACTGATGATTGTTCTCCAACCTCAGGCTACTCCACCAGGAACAGTTAGCTCTTTGTCAGGGACAGAAACATCAGCTGCACACATACAAACTGACTGGGGATTTGTTCTGGGTCTCTCTGCTTCAGAAACAAAACAAGAATTCAGAGAGGGCTTGTGTTTATCTACAAATTGCCCCCCTTTCAAGTCAATACTTCTCTGTGCTTGTGATTGGGGTAGGTTTGTTGAGATTTGCCAAATTGTCGTGGCTGGGTGTAGTTTTTTTACATGGCCTTCTCTACTCTGGAGAAAATAATTACTAGTACACTCTTGACAGGAATGTTAGGACGACAGAATAATGTAACAGCTAACCTTACGCAAGCACGTGCCTTTGCATGCCCGTAGCTCCTGAGCAAAGACCATGAAGCAGCAGCTTCTGCTTCTCCAAAACGCCCTGCTGATTCTCCTGTTTGACGCACACAGACACAGGTGAAATTGAGAGAAAGTCTACTCTGTAAAATAAAAGTACAAAGCACGCAGAGAACTGGTTCTGTATTTCAGGCCTTAGCATGTTCTAACAGGCTCCATTAGTAAATCACTCTTTATACCACCCTGTGGCTTTAGAGAGCTTTGTGGCTTTCGAGGTAAGTTTGCAATTACTATTTGGCATGGTTTTGGGTTTTTTTATTCCGCCTTTCGGAATAGGAGTGTATCGCACAGCATCCTGATGAAGTTCACTGCAAGCAAAGTGTGTTTCCTGTTAAAAGTCGTTCTTGGCTATTTATTTCAAATGTCCCAGAGATCCCAGAGAGCTTAGCTGAATTTGGCTGCAAGGGGAATTTGCACAAACCATGACCAACAAATCTGCTCTGTTGTGCTGGTACCTAAATATGTCTGGAGCTGCAGCAGGTTAAATGTGGAGTCCAGCTTCACTTTGTGTACTATAAGCAGGACAGAATTTCACAATAGCTTTGTATAACCCCTTTGTGCAGATATCCAAAGGCTAAGGGGGCTGATTAGTCCCAAATACCACTCAAAACAGACAGTCGTTATAGAACACTGTCTGTCTTTCATAACATGCCAGCAGATATCTCGTGAGGACGGTCTTAGCTTAGTTTGCAGCCAGATTTCTACCTACCATTTTACCCCAGGGATAAAAAGGAAAAGCTGTCAATCTGTACCATCACTCTCATGTAATCTGAGTCTGGGGGGGGAACATTATTTATGTGAAATTCTTTCTCCCGAGAGCACAAAACCTGCCGCTGACCCTGACATAAGTAGGCACAAAGCCATGGAAACCAGGGGAAGTTACACAAGGGTGCAAAACTGTTTATGGAGCCAGATCACACACTGGACCCAATGTTGCCTCGTGGGCAGTAGGTGGGGCTTTCGGCATTTGTGTGGGAGCTCTCCAATGAGACCCAGAGGAGGACAAGGCTACAACCTTCTGGTTTTCGTAACAGCATCTCGCTCCAGTAGGGCTGAGGCATGGGCGGAGTTTGATGAAACTAAAATAAACGCTGACACGCAGCATCTTGTGAGTATGTGCAGCCTCAGAAGGATAGACTGCAATAGCTAGAACGATAAGGACAGCTTCAAACGTAAGTATGTCTACTTTCTCCACTTTCTTAATATAATTAGCGGCTTGTGGAATGGCATGTTCTGGCTACGCTTACTCGCTCCATCAGTGTAACCCATGAAGATGCCCACTATGCTTTCTGTCCCTTTGGCCCATGTGTTAACAGCCACAGAAAAAGCCTAGACACCCTACAGTAATATTTACATGAATAGATGGAAATCTCCAAGCTAAGCTTTCCTGTAGATCTACAAATTAATTCAACTGTAAATATTTGGAGGATTTTTCTCAGTTTGCCTTTCCCCCCCCAAAAGCATTGTTTTGTGTAATTCAAAAATATTTTGTACATGCAGTCACCGACAGTACTGGCCACAAAGTTATAAAAGACAGAGCTGTGAGAGATCTCACCAGCAGTTAAGAGAAGGTGTGTCAGGGAGGGGCTGGAATTGGCAAGTAGAGAGACAAGGCAGCTCGTACGGCAGCTACTACAACAGCATGCGTTGAAACGGAGGAACGTTTACTTCTCTGCTTTCTAACATACCCAGGGAGCCCATGAAGAAGAGAAATGTGTTTTCTATCAAGTTGTAGCAAGGAGAAATAGAAAATGAAGTGATAGTAAAGCAGCATCATCTCTGCCTTTGAAATGGCAATGGATAAAATAAATTACTGTAGGAAGTTTCAGTATAATAGCTCACATTTGCTTCTAACAAAATGATTGGATTCCTGCTTTATTGTTATGCTTTGATGATTTGTAAATACTATTGATGAAAAGTGCGTTAGAGTACAGCTGTCCAGCTTGGGACCATGCAGCAGTCCCCGGTGACCAGTCATTCTGGTAAAAACTGCTGAAGATGATGTATCTTGAGGCTGGGACAGGGAGGGCGACAGTGCCTGCTTTTAACCGTGGCATCAGTCTCCTGCTGCGTGGTCCTCTGATCGTCCCTTGCTCTAGGGTGACAACTGAAGGAGCTGCTCGAAAAAGTTCAACAAGTGAGTGCTCTGTGCTACTTATTTTATAAGGATTGGAAGTGAAATCAGTGCCAGCAGGTTTTTTGGGGTATTTTTTGTTTTTTTGATAAAAGCTTTTCAAACTCATAGATCCCAAAGAGAAAACTCCTTGTAGCCACTTCTAAACCAGTGTACAGATGGGGGTTAACAGTATTCAACAGTAGTCTACGTGTCACAAGAAAATGGAAACAGATAAGAAAGTAGTCAGGTAGCACAAGGCAGTTCTTGATTTTACAAAAATAGCCATAGTAAAAAAAAAAAAAGCCATTCACAAACGTCATGTTAAAGATGGCATACCTTAAAGACTTTACCACTGGAGGTGGGACATGCTGTGAATTGCACCAGTGCACCTTTAATGCTAAAAGCCCATCAAAAAGTAGAGCCACGAGTGACAGAGCAGTAGCTTCCTATTGTGTGGGCAGCTATAAACAGTTGAAGAGCAAAAGAAGTGAAAAATAACCTCCAAGTTTTTGTTCCGTTACCCAAGAAACATGCAATTAAGTTATACTCTGAGAAGACAATGATCTAAGAATCAAGACAATTGCTGAATCAACTACATGTCGTCTTTGCAATGTAAAGTGCAAAGGACATTGTAATGTAACAGAAAGCAGAGACTTTCTTGGGATGTAGGTTATGCACTACGATCTGCTGGTATAGAGAAAAATCATAAAAGGCGGCTCCTAAAATCTCAAGACTTTTAACCAGATGTCATTATTTCAATAGTGATTTTGATTATTTATTTTGGGACAGTGAGAAGAAGTTGAGCGATTCCATGTTTTCAGCTTTTTCCTTCCGTGTGAAAGCTACCTAGGAAAGTAGCCTCATATTCATAAATACAGAAAATCTCATCTATCCACAGGACTCTGGGGCTAAAGGCCTTTAAGAAAGGCGTCAGCTATTATGAGGCCCAATAAAGTTATGGGCACGGTCAATTAACAGAGTACCCACCACACCAACACCTCTTCATCCAGGAGCAAATTGGCTGAACTCCTCAAGTCCTTTTTATTTATGGATTTCCACACAACTGCCACTTGCAGAATCTCAACCTTCTGTTTTGCAGCCAGGAAACGCCTTCACTTCACGGAGAAGCAAAGGCAGCTTATCCTGCAAGATGATCACTCCCACATCAGCCTAGAGGTAGCTTCTTGGTCTTGGTTCTCTGCTGGTTCTTTCAAGGGCTTAAAGGATTTCAGCCCTTGTTGTTGAATCATTGGAGATAAGCAGTAGAATCCAGGCCTTTCACAATCTCAGGGACATCTGCCTTCTAGAAAGCACCAATCTCTTGCCTGAACTTTTCCAGTCACTTCTCAGCGTAGCAAGTGTTACTGAAAGATTGGAGACCAGAGGCTGAGGAAAAGCTCTTTGACATTAGGCAGAAAAGCCCTAGTGCTTTCTTTCTCCCCATGTATGCTGCATTGATTGGAGAGAGGCCAATGAACTGTGTCTGCCTTTCAGCTCTGGCAAGATGATCAAATCCTTCAAGCAAACGTTTCTGTCCCTGGATCTGCAGTCCCCTCGGTGGAGCTCAGCAGAGACGATGGTAACCACTAAAGGCCAGGGGAAGAGAACTCTTTGCAGCCAGGGTGCTGCAGAGCTAAGGTGGATTTGGGATTGGTGTGGCATCTGATGGGTGTGGAGGGAAGTGTTACTACGGACACCGTTAACATCAAATTGCGAAGGGGAACACCTATTCATAAGCTCTGAGGAGCTCAGCCTAAGGCAGAACAGCATGGTTTTGCAAGGGAAGCATCAAATCGTTTGATGTTGGGGGTATGCCTAGAGTCTGCAGCTAAGAGGCTGCCCAGTTTTATCCAATCGCAACAATACTTTCATGCTGATTTGGAAAAAGGAGCTATTAATTTATGTCATCTGTAGTTTAATGTCATGGTTACTGTGACTTTTCTACCTTTCAGGCAACAGATTATGAACTGCGTCAGTATGAGACGGCAAAGTGGGTCAGCACAGTCATTAGGGGAGAGACCCAGAAGGAGGCCATGCGCCAGGGCTTCTGGAAACTCTTCCACTACATCCAAGGGAAGAATGAGAAAGGTACAATGTGCTGGTTTTGAACTGCAAGAAGCACAAATGGGAGATAAAGCTGAACAATGTAAGACAGTAGATGATCTGCAGGACAAAGCAGGTTCACTTGCCTGGTCTAACACCCTTGTGGCTCCATTGGGCCATTATACCCGTGAGGCTGCTTTGGTTTCTGCTTTTAGGATGACCCTTTACAGCAGCATTCAGGCACTGTCTTTGCTTGCTGCTTACAAGACTCTTTTTCCCCCCACTCCTCTAGAAATGAAAATTGATATGACTGTGCCAGTGACATGCCTGATAAAATCTGGCTGCACAGACTTCAAGATCTCTTTCTTTGTGCCGTTTGAACATCAGGACTCTCCACCACAACCCACCGACTCAGATGTGTTTATTGAAGAGCGGAAGGCAGCAGCCATCTTTGTCCGGTAAGCAGCACCAGCGTAGCTGACAAATGAAGGTAGCTACTGAAAGGGATTCATCTATTAAGAGTCTGGCCTACTCTTTCTTACAGCTGATTTTTAACTGTAGATATATCCTGCTGTTCAGAGCCTTGATTTCCAAATACCCAAGTTCCGTCAATCTTTCTTATGCTTAGGTGTCTTACTAAGAACAAAGAGAAATGACCAAGTTTTGAAACATTCCTTTTTCAGCACTCCTGAATATTGCATTGAGTGGGTTGTGTAGAAATGCAGCCTACAGAATCTTCCTCTTGAGCACAGCCCATGCTACAGAACACCTAAATCACTCCTCCAGACCCCTTTATTTGTAGTTCCAAACTCCCACAAAAGCTGCATGGCAGTTCTTTATTACAGGAAAAGCACTCAAAGCTACACTTGCCTTTTCTGCATATATTAAAGCCACAAGCAATAATCTGCGTCAGCTAATGCTCTCAGAATTGCAAGCAATTTAAAGAGTATTTTTTTTAAATCCTTTTAAAGTAGTATACATAGCCATATACTTCCTGACACCTAGTTCTGTGAAGTTTACCTAATAACTACAAACTGCGTAAGAAGTGCTCAAACACTGCATGCTTTGCAAGCCTGAAGTTTCCTTCTGTGAAAATAAAAAGCAGGGGCTTGAACTCTTAACCAAAAAACCCTCCCTTTTCACTTCTCCAGGTCCTTTGGTGGATTTGCCTCCCCAGAGAAATACGCTGAGGAAGCTGAAGTCTTGGCCAGAATCTTAAGAAACAGAGGCCAACCATTCCATGAAGACTTCTTCTATACTGCAGGCTATGACAGTCCCTTCAAGCTCTTTAACAGGCACAATGAAGTGTGGTATTTTAAAAAGTAATATGGTGGGGGAGAATATTAAGAGGCTACTAATCAGCTCTGGATGAAAACAGACCTTAATAACGGCTTTTGCTTTAGTGCAGAAGAGATGTAATGCGCACATGGACACAGGATCATGTCTAATTCATTTTCTCTAGGATGAAATACTGTTCTGGCTAAAAAGATTTCAGCTCTTTCTACAAGATGTAATTTAAATTCAAGTAGAATGTACCAGCTGGAGTGGGAGGGAGGTATGGCAAACCTACTCCTCTTCCCGAAAGGTTCTAAGCAACATTAATAATCTGAAAATATTCCTGTAGAACAGTTTGGATGTCTAGTTTTACTTCTCATTAGAAGTGCTACAGCAATAGCTCAAGTATTATGGAGAATGAGTTCTTCATAGAGCTGACTTCTCCCATATTGATATCACTGCTGAGACAACAGAAAGATGGGGGAAATTAAATTAATTTTTCAGAAAAGAAACCTAGCAGCAATAGTTTAGGAGGCCCTAGTGCCTCTTAAGCAGTAACTTTCTTTTTGAAAATAGTATTACCAAAATGCCCCATGTCTCCGCTCAACTGTTTTTTTTTTTTCTCATGGAGGCTGGATGCAGTCTTGCTCCAGACTAATGCCAGTGACCAGATCAGACTCAGAGTCCAGTGGAAAAGGGTTAACAGTGTCCAAGCTGTATGCTTATTCTGTGCACATCATCTGCACCTGAACATGTAATACCAGACTTACTGGTAACCTGTAATGTTAGAAAATATACAGTAGTGTTTAGCTCTCACCTACAAAACACTAATTACTACTTCAATTATTTAGCTTTGTCCAAATCTTGGTGTTGGTCAGGTCAACTGCAGTCTGCACACTAGCAATATCTGACACCTAAGTTAAAAGACACTTGCAGGACTAGCATTTAAACTAGTTTAGTCCCTGCTCTAAATCAAGCATTTGAAGCTTTTATAAAGTAGCCTAGAGCTGTTTTACAGCAACCTGTTCAAGTCAGAAAGCAGTTCACAACAACAGGTAGAGTTTACAAATTTTTATTGGTTCCAATCAGTACCAGGCAAACATTACCAGTGTGGTAAAAAAAAACACCTTGGCTTTTTTAATGCTGTTCATGCAAGTGTAACTCATTATTCTGCCATCTTCTACCTATTAAGACAGACACAAGAACCATTGTAAGGCACCAAACCAGCACAAGAAGCTTGCTGGGAACAACTCAGACCTTAGATTTTCATCTCTGTTCAGAGAGAGAGTTCAAGCTAAGGTTATCATCATTTGTTCCAGCAAATAAATGTCATTCTTGCTAGTTACACTCACCTTCTTAGTTCTTTATACAGTAGTTTCAAAGTTGCCTCCTCACCTGAAGCAAGAAAACACAATCAACATATGCAGTAGCAAAACCACTAAAAGCTCCACAGCAGCTTTGTAACCTCAGAGAAAAGTGGAACGGAAATTGTAATATCACAGTAATTCATTTGGCAGAATCAAATTTCATCAGTGGCTACAAATATTCCCAGAAGCTTTTAACAGAATTCATCTGCTGTGTGGTCTTACCCAGTGAGGTTGCAGATAGCACAGTCCTTTCCTGAGAAAGAGAGAAGTTGTTTCAGAATAACAGACATCACTATATGCAAGTTTAATTATTTATCTACGAAATTCTATTCACCAAACTAATTTTACCTACAAGGAGGCTGCATTTCAGCTGGCAAATGACAACTTCAACTTGCAACAGCCAAATAGGATATACAAAGCTTACAAATCCTAACTGAACTGGAAATACAGAATTACTAACATTGGAAGAATCAGGAAAAAGTACAAAGCTACCACTTGCTTTGTGATACTGTCTCTCCCCAACAGAAAGTTCTATTCAATGAGTTTTGATACCTAAAATACAAGTCCCATAGAAATCATCTTGAAAATCTACCCTGAGAAGTGAGAACCAGTCTGTTGGAGAAAACAAGTTTGTACAGCAATCATCTAGAAATTGATCCTAAATTTGTGTATAGCCAACATAACCAAGATTAGCAGAAATTACCGAGTAGTGACAACCACAGCATATAGGGTTGGTGTTTTGGTTTTTTTTCTTTTTAATTCAAGAGTGCAGTGTTATAGTGTCAGTTCACAGAATAGCCAGACACATCAGATATGAGTTATAACAGGAGTTATGTTTGCTGCTGTGCATTCTGCTGTACTACATTATCAATACTGTATTTGCTAAGAGGTCTCTACTGATTCAGCTCCTTTACTATTTCCACTGTGTGAAGATATCCAGCAATAAAACCCCAGTTTTTAGAGTCATTGAGGCCACATCTTCTGTTCATACAAACAGAACTCTACATAAAGTTTACCACTGACTACAATTCAGGAATTGTCAGGGTGTCTGCTCAAATAGCCCTTCCTTTTCAAGCCAAATTCAGAACTACATAGAAGTGCATTCTTGCTTCAATGTTTATTCCCACAGGAGCTGACAGTGGGAAAATCAGAATACAATAAAGGAAGACAAATCAGATCTATTACAGGACTAATTTTAGGCACCACTATCTAGGCATTTAGCCCAAAGACAATATTCCAGTAATTATCAAACCCCATGTACCCTACTTACCTCAGACATAAGTTAGTCTCACTTCTCACACAAACTCCCCACGAGCTTCACTCTGTAACAAGTGAAATTTTATTAACACACTCTCCTTGGCAGTGCTTCAAGAGTTAGTTTGAATGTAGGTACTGTTTCAGCACGAGAGTCCTCCTCAGCCTCTTTCAGAGAGATTCCCATTGCTTAGAATTAATCATCACGAACAGTACATGCTTAGAGAAGCTTAATGTTTTGTTACTTTTGTTTCTCCTTAGAGGAAGACCTGACCTCAGCATTTCAGACCTTACCCCCAACCACATCTTCACTCACATCACGTAAAAGCTCTGATCTAGCCATTGAGACAAATAATTTACCACATTATTTCCACTACTCAAGATCAGCGCTACTCCCTGCAAACACCCACACCTTAATTTAACCAGCAAAAAGTTAAAATAGTAAGTAATTTTACTGGCTTTGGTCAGCACAAGCTCTACACTGCCAGGTTACCACACATTCTTTCTTATCAATTAGAAACTTTAATCCATAGCAGTTACACAGTTCAACTGGTCCATGCCATTTCTTTTCAGTTACAGAAAGCAGTTAACATTTTCAAGTAGTAAAAAAAAAATCTTATGGCAACTGAGAAGCAAGCAGCTTACCAAGTAAGAAGCATCTGTCACAAAGTACCCAGCAGTTCTGCCATTCTCAAATCTATGATACACATAGGAAAATGAAATGTCAGTCCAATACTGATGTTACTCTAGAACCTCATTAAGACTTCCAGAAACTCCTGTGTCCATTACTGTCACAATCATCACTGTATCTTATCACTGTCTTTGGTCACACAGTATGAGATTCAGTCCCTAGCACCTTGGGTAAGTGAACCCTGCAGGCCCATTGGTAGAGGTACGAAAATCCCCAAGGAACCTTCTGCTTAACACTGCACCTACACTGCAATTAAGAGGCCAGCATTAGTAACTTCCCCATCACCTATCACACAGTTCTGACCAGTCATATGCATTTGCTGGCAACTTACTTTTGCTGGTAGCACTACCAACTGCATCGCTTCACAGCTCCACCGCACCAGCCCTGGAACAAAGCAAAGTATCAGGAGAGCGCAGAAGGAAGCACACGAGGATGAAATGTAGCCAGGTGCCTGAAGTCAGATAGAGCTAATTGCAGACCTCCATAATTGAAGTCAAGGTAATCACATCTCATCACACAGGCAGCTCACATTGTCAGTCACTGGACAGCTATCTGCTTTAGGCTAAGGTTGCTACGGGGAAGAGGGCAAATAGTGCTATCAGAGCAACTTCATGAGCTCACAGGCACACAGTGAAGAGTTTAACACAAACCAGCCTGTCAAGGCTGGGCCTTATCCAGCAGTTCTCCCCTCAAGCATCCTTCTCTTTTGGACAAGATGCAAGCAGCAGCCAACACTGGCTCCTTGCACCTCCCTCCCAGCTTACATGCAGTTAAATTCTTCACTTCTAGGCAAATTTTTTTATGCTAATACTTGCAAAGTTAAAACAAGTACTTACATCGCAATGAGAAACACTTTGGAAAGCTGCAAAGGAAAAGCTGCTATTAGGTAAGGTCCAGCAGAACATTTTAGCATAAGAACAATTCCAGTGAAACACTGTATCAGCGTTTAGTCAAGTTTTATCCTCATTGGGATCAGAGACCTGATTCAACATCATCTACAGTGGACTGCAACACTCCCATCTTCTTCCACAAAGGTGGCCTAAAGCCATCTCCCAGCACCCTGCCCAGCACCCCTGAGATGGTAATTCCTCAACTCCAGAGACTGCTGGAATTGCAGAAAGGAGCAAACCTCTAAACTGCAGAGTTCAGTGACATGAACTCTGTGTAAACATCTAAGTTGGCCTAAACTGGGAAAAGCATTTCAGGTATTAAATTCACAGTACTGCCACATTCACCATTTAGTCTTAACAGGCACATTCTAGAAGTCTTTAACACCACAAAACAATTAGTTAATGCTTTTATTGTGAAGCACAGGGGATCTGAAGGCACACTGAGGGTACTAGTATCTTTGCTTCAGATTTTCCAGAAACAAAAATCGATTTGCAGACCCTGTTATCTCCAAAAGCAAACTCCCAAGCTCAGATGCAGCACAGCCAAATGCAGCATCCCTCTAAAAAAGGTTTTTCAATTACCTTCAGTTAGGAAGGCCTTGTCTTCACCAACATCAGTAACAGCCAAAATAGCTTCTCACACTGGAGGCACAGGTATCCACTGTCCAGGGCGGCCTGCAAAGCAACAGCTTACAGAATTTGGAGGACTAGCACCAGATCAACCAAGATTTTGTGTTACTGAAATAGCGAATTTATTCTGCTGTATTTGTGCTTAATTTCACAAGCACAGCCTACTCTATCCTTCTATTCATCCTACTAAATTTTTTCATGTTTAGCTCATTTACTGATCTTCTGAAACAATTTTTCAAAACGCATTCACGGAGCCAAAGAAAGTAGTGCTTCACCCTCAGCTTTCCACGTGAATTGTCTGTCAAACTCAGCCTAAGTTACAGGAGGCTGCATCAGATAGGAGCGAAAGACAGTAACAGCGTGATCACCACGGGTCATCTGCTGAACTA